TACGAGGTCATTTCCAGACCAGGATCTTGGGGAGAAAATGGTGCAAGGACTTGAATTATTGGACATTTAAGTGAAGACACTCCTGTAGGCCATCTGTACGGGTGGAGGGTGACAGGGCTGCAGATGGGCTGGGTCCCAGGAGCCACCCCCCAGGGTCCCCGGCACAGAGCCAGCGAGGATGAGAGCACACGGCAGAAACCACAGGTGGGAGGGCAATTAATGCTCTTTATTTACACCACAAGAGTGACAAGTCGTATGATGAGGTACAAACACTGGACTCCGGTGAAGTGGAGTCGGCCGTCAGGGGAGGACACCTCAGTCGGTGAAAATCCACCCACAGAGAAGGAAACAAGAATGAGAAAACCAAGAACAAAATCTCCAACTCCACTGAGCAAAGGAAAGAACCACTGGGAGGTCCAGACAACCAGAGAACTGATTTAAGTTACAGATGAGACAGGTCTCTGCTACCAGCGCGGCGCCTGCATTATCGCGAACAGGCGTCGGGTGGGACAGGAAGTCGTCACCACTGCGTTTTCCACGACACCGTGAAGAGCTCTTGGGTGAATAGGGCCAGCCCCCCCTCCTGTAGACATGTGGTGACATGCTTGTCACTCTCGTAAATTGGAAAATAGCGCCTCCACTGTGGAGCACACACACCAAAACAACAACAACAACAAAAACAAACAGAAACTGTCTGCTTTCTTTTTCCTTCAATAGGAGGCTTTTAATCATGTCAAAGACAGAGTGAGCTGAGCTGGGAAAGCTCTGCTTCATTACAAGGAAGAAATGGTTTCCTCTCGATGCAAAGTTATGAATTTAAACCACAGTGCAGCACAGTTCACGACTGCTGAGTTTAAAGTGAAATCTTAGCCATACGTGATCTAAAAGTCAGGAAAAGTCGGCACAGCTGTGCGGAAACGGCCGCTGGGGCCTCAGGTTCCCCAGCAGAACCGACGGCCACCAGGGCTGGGGGTGTGGGGGCGGCGCTCGCCTTGCCCTGAGCAAGGAGAGAAGGGAAGAAACCAAACAGAACAAATCCCTCTAAATCAACCCGAGAGAGACAGGCAGTTCACTTTGAATTCTGCGTAGTTTCCCTAAAACACTGTTTCCACATAAATACAATAAACTCTATTATCGGTATGTCACAAGTGCTAGATAAACTTTTTTCTTAATATGACAAATGTTTAAGTAGTCCTTTTTATTTTTCTTACAATAAAAAGTACAATTTCTTAAGAATAAGTCCAGTAAGATGCAAACGTCGTGTCCCCCCGCCACCCCCACACCC